GTTTTTAATTACGATGCACAGGTACAACGCGGCGTCGCGTCTGGAAGGTTTGGCCGTTCGAATGGCCTTCCAGTTGAGTCTGCATCGCTGTCCGTTACAGTTATCAATTCCAAGCAAAGAAGCTGAGCTGAGGAAGCGGCTTTTCTGGTCTGTAATATGCATCGATAGATATATATGCATCCGGCTTGGTACGCCGCTCGGCATAAGGTCAGACGAGGCAAATGTCTGCTACCCACACACAGAGCGACACCTACGGGAGCCTGAGGAAGCTGGTATGTTTGTAGCAGATTGGGTTTCAAGGGTTCTCGGCTAACTCGCCTCAAGATCGCACCCGTGATGACCGACTAGATTTATTGGACTTTCTAGCTCGCCACGCCGACATCCGTGGATCCATCATGCAAACGCGACACCAATCTATGCTGCATGGTAGCGCCGATGATGTCGATCAAGCCCTGGAAGTGGAGGCAGAGCATACTAAGTGGTGGAATATGGTCGATGAACACTTGTCTAATGACGAGCAGACGCAAACCATATCCAAAGCACATCAAGTCACACTCATCGTCCTTCGCTTCGAGTCAGTGCTTGCTCTCCATCGTTCTGTGTTAGCAACGTCTAAGAAGAATGCTGCATACAACGCTGCGCTCCAACGCTGCATATCGGCCTCGCGCTCCATCATAAATACACTACACAAAGCCCTCCGGGGTTTCGGGGCGTTCGATGGCTCACCCGGTCAACATGGTTACGAAAGAACTCCTCTGCTTTGGCCATCATTTACCTGGGCAGTGTGGATGAGTACGTTTATAATCCTGTCTGCTGCTGCGGACGGACAGGTTACGCGCGACATCGCATTCAGGCTCTCAGACCGAAGCATTCAGATTCTCAAGCACCTGGCGTTGAGGGGTACGAGTTGGCCAGACGCATGCATAGTCGCTATTCAAAACCTTGTCACACGACTCGATAAGCCATGTGGCCGCGACCTTACGAACACGTCTGGAGACAGCTCGCGGCCGGCAACTCATGCTGCTCGCAATCCTTCCACTGGCATGGATAACTGGCAAGCTCAGAGACAAGTAACAGCGAACCGTTCGGGAAATCACGTGGCCCCAAGACACAATCCAGCGACAGGCACAGTGACGCCAACAGGACAGCTCCAGAGACTCACCGATCAGCCCCATGCAGTACCATATTCCGCAAACTTCACAACCCAAGCGACAGAGTCAACCCTATCTAACGCCAACGCACAACCTGCCGATATGCAAAATGTCAACAGCCTAACATTCGACTATCTCGCCGGAGCAGGGAACTTTCTTGGTATTGCACAGCAATATTCAGACAACCCCTTACCCAACGAAGAGATCATGCATCTCTTCAACGGCGAAGACATCAATTACTGGTTCGGGAACGACCCCGCGATGACTGAAAATCCACTTTATCATGAACAAAGCTTTCATTGAGCGTCAAGATGAATACTAATAATACCAATTACATACAATCAACCCGATTTTGGCGGTGTGACCTTGCCCAGCGAGGCTGACTTGAACGCAGCATGAATCTCCTGCTCTGCGCCGTCTTGTAATGGCAAAAGTCCACTTCGCACTGTCGCGTGCTCCAAGATACCCCTCGCCACCAGACCATGTTTGAGTGCAACAGTCCCCTCCATATGCGAGCCACGATGGTAAACGTTCCTGGTGACTGGGAGCAGTCTGTCATGAACAGCTCTTGCACGAGGGTAGTCTCTCGCCTTGCCGGCTTCAATCATCTCAAGCAGCGGTTCGGGCGCGATGTTGCCGTACCCAACAAGCATGCCGTCGACGTCGAAGCATGTGTGTAGCAAGTACTCATCATGACATGTGAGGATAGTAAGGTCGGGGTTTTGCTTCTTGATAATGGGAATCTCGACGTCCCAACGGCGCATGTTGCGGACGCCGTTCTTCATAGCGATGACACCGGGCTGTGCGGCAATCTCGAGTAGCGTGTCCAGGTTGTAGGTAGCCTTGGTGTTGTCGGGATATTGGAACAGGATGAGAGGAAGTCCGGACTTCTCGTACACAGTCTTGTATCTGTCCTGGGGCGCTCCCGGCTGATATCCGAAGCGTAGCCAGCCATGGCTGGGGTACAGAAGACCCGCTTGCGCACCAGCAGCCTTGGCGCGTTGAGCTTCGAGCGCAGCCACCTCAGTGCCCTCTGTGGTGATACCAGCAATGATGGGGATCTTGTTGTCCACAGACTTAACAAAGGCCTTGATGACTTCTACTTGCTCTTCCTGGGTGAGGAAAGTGCCCTCGCCAGCGTGTCCCAGCACGACCAGACCCTTCACGCCTGGAATGCTGCCGAGCCAGGAGCCAAGACGCTGGATGGCTGCGTAGTCGACCGAGCCATCCTTGTTGAATGGAGTGACCGGCGCAGGGACGAGACCTGCGAGGTCGATCTGGGGAGCTTGCTTGACCTCAGGCATGGAACCCATTGTGGTGAGAGAAGTAGTGGGGTTTGGATAGGGAGTAAGAGTTGATTGTAGGAGAGTGGACGAGTTTGATTTGCGTTGGATGGTGCTGAATCTTGGATCGAAAGCTTGCGTTATATGTACTTCGCCCATCCATTACATGGAAATGCCGAGCGGCAAACGTTGGACGATCTCACTGCAGCATACGACTTCGTGCTAGGTCTCGAGCGCATGTTTGGCAGGCGGACTTGAGAGAGTCCGCCAAAACGCCATGATGAATCGCTCCGGTTTGCTCTTTGGAGTCTCGATGGAGTCATGCGAGTAACGGGGACTTGCAATGTTCCGACGTAGTGCCACTGGCATGAGCCGATGTGCCGCTCAGGCGTACCGGACATGTCTTTGTCCGCGCTAGCGTCTTCCAGCCGCAAGCCGCTCTCCACCCAGGACCAGCCGACGATTCTCATGGCCAATTACCTAGTCTTTAACTTGACTCGTAGCGGACGCCGCGGGACGCTCTGGACATTGTCATGTTCCCCATGTTTTCTCCGCGCCGCAACGAAGAAGTTGGGGTCTGGGGAAAGTCCGGGGTCAAGCTTGCTCATGGACTTTCTGGGGAACGTTCGTCCAGCTGGGGTATATAGAAGGCGCTTCTCTTAGGAGGGTTGGCCTTTCGTGCTGTTCTTCAGGATACTTCAGAGTCCTGCACATGACCGAGTCATCAATCCTGCGCTTCTGAAGATTGCCAAACATGGCCAACGCAAACACCGACCGTTACGAAGATACCGAGAAGAATGTCCCACTGCAAATCGACGATGTCGCAACATCCGAAAAAGACCTCGAGGCGCAAGCTGCGCTCGATGGCGCCGACTACACTGGTGCGATTGCCAAGACAGACCCAGCAGAGATCGCCCTGGTACGCAAGCTGGACATGCGAGTGATGCCAGCGCTCTTTTGCATGTACTTTCTGTACGTCACTCTAAGTCCTCGAACTTCATATTGCTAACAATTGTGCTACCAGCAACAAGCTCGACCAGAATGCGATAGCAAACGCGCGCCTCAACGATCTCGAAGACGACCTTGGTCTAGTCGGAAACCAATACAACACCTGCATATCCATTCTTTACGTTGGCTATCTCTTTGCGCAGATACCCAGTAACATGCTCATGTCGTCCAAGAAAGTGCGGCCTTCGCTCTACATGGCTCTGTGCTGCTCCGTCTGGGGCTGTGTAGCAGCTCTCACAGCTCTAGTCAAAAACTACACTGGACTGGTACTCGTACGTTTCTTCCTCGGGTTCGTCGAAGCCCCGTTCTATCCAGGCGCTCTATACATCCTGAGCATGTTCTACACGCGCAAGGAAATCGCCACAAGAGTATCTATCCTGTATGCCGGAAACATCTTCGCCGTCTCTTTCGCCGGACTCATTGCCGCGGCTACTTTCGCGACGCTGGACGACAAACATGGAATGCACGGATGGCAGTGGCTTTTCATCATCGAAGGCATCGTCACAGTCGGCGTGTCGATCGTCTGTGTATTCCTACTACCGGATGAGCCGCTGACAACAAAGTGGCTTACACCTGAACAACGTCAACTGGCGCACGATCGCATCCAGCGGGACACCGTTGGACTTGAGCCAAGCAAAGGGGTCAAAGCGGGTTTCATGCAAGCTCTGCGCGACCCAAGACTTTATCTTCTGGTCTTTATGCAGAATATGCATTTGAGCGCTACGTCTTTCAACCAGGTATGTCGCAATCAGCCAGTCTTCGGATAACTCTCGTGTTACAGCTACTAACAGAACACAGTTCTTCCCTACTGTAGTCAGGTCTCTGGGTTTCAGTACAACTATCACGTTGGTCTTGACTGCTCCGCCGTCGCTCGTCGCCGGCGTCGTCGGCATATGCATCGGCATCTCGTCTGGCAAGTTCAACGATAGAACATGGCACATCACTGTCATGATGGGAATCGCAGTCGTTGGATTCGCTATCAGTGCTATCACGCTCAACACCGCTGCGCGCTACATCTCTTGCTTCCTCTTCGCTTCCGGTTCGTCTTCCCCTCCATCATCCTCGTCCTTCTCGACACTTCTACTGTGGGAAACCTACTGACGGATCATTCTCTAGGCGTTTATTCGGTCAACTCAGTGATTTTAGGCTGGGTGTCAGGGACACTGGGCCAAACCACGGAGAAGAAGGCTGTGTCACTGTCCATCGTCAATGTGGTTTCCATGGCTAGCTTTATCTACACGCCTTACCTGTATCCCGCGAGCGACGGACCCAAGTATGTAATTGCTATGAGTAGCAATGCGGCGTTTGCCGGGGCATGTATTGCATCGGCCTGGGCGTTGAGGGCATGGCTCCAGGTGACGAACCGGCGGCTGAAGAGGGATGGCGTCAACGTTTTCTACGCATATTGAGCAGGCTTTGAGTCTGACCGAACAATTCATATAGCATTCATGATTATGTGGCAAAAGTATGAAATGAAAGTTCAACGCAGCAGATAATTACGAAAAGGGTATCACCAACGCCAATCATTAGAGCACCGAACAAAACATAAAACACCCCTCTACACCTCCACGATATCCGCATCCCTCTCCAACTCCTCACTCGCATGCTCCCTCCAAAGATGATCCATCAGCGCCTCGATACCCCTACACACGGTATCCGACTTCCTGAACCTCGCGCAAAGCACACACGCAAAGCCCCCACCTTCTCTATGGCTCTTGACAATAAAGCGGTTCTTGATGCGAAAAGTTCGCGGTGCCGTAGTGCAATGACCGCGTTCGTCTTTCTTCTTGTAGCCGTCGACGACGAGCTCCCAGGCTTTTCCGGGTTGGATGGAGACGTGCGTGCGGCAGAAGGGACACTTGTGGTCGCCGGTGGGTCGGTAGGCGTCGGCAAGGTGGAGACGGGGGTTGTGTTGGAGGTCCTTTGCGTAGATGCAGAAGAGTCTTGTGCTGTATCGTGAAGATGGAGGCTGAGGCTGAGGCTGAGGCTGAGGTGGGGGAGGGGGTGGAGGTATAGGCGTGGGCTTTGGTTTGGGCTTCACGATTGGTATCGGTTTGATCAAGACCTCTTTTGACTCGCACGAGGAGCTGGAGCTGCTGTCCATGCGCTTCTTGTGCCGCAGTGGTCTTGAGGGCGGTCGCGGATGGTCGGGTAGTGGAAACGCGCCAGGTACCCTTGAAGGTGCGTCGGGTTGTCGAGGTAATAGCGGTGATGGGAGTGGTGGCAGCATGCGTTCGTACTGCATGTTCAACGAAGCGATGGAAGCTGCACGCGCTGTACGAGCCGTCTGAATCAGACGTACAAGGTGCGAGTGCGAAGATGACGGCGCCATATACGTGCTTAGTAGCAGATCCTGCTGGATATTGATGACTGTCTGCTGAAGCTTTATAATCTGAGACTGGAGCTGGGTGTGCGTTGTAACTGTTCGACATCAGTACCTGGTGGCTTGAACTTGATTGAGTACATACCATCGCCACGTGCAAACGGCTCGCCCAGCTTCCGATACCCACGTTCGTACTCGGCTCGGATCTGGGAAGAAGAGGTGCATATGAGCTCTTCTTCGCTGTCACTGTAGTCGCCTTTCCTCTTCTCTGAGCCAAACATGGAGTCGCGACGACGCCTATGCCACAGCCCCTGAATATGATACTCATCTTCCTCGTCGTCACTATCTTTCTTACCAGATCTATGTTTGAGCTTGCGGTATAGATCACTGGCAGAACCGAAAGATTCCGTCAAAGTCCGCACGAGGGAAACCACGACTACAAAGTCTTGGAGTAACCCTTTGGCCTAGGCAAGTTCGATCAGCACTTTGTCAAGGCATGCGATGACTATCATATAACGTACTGTCTCTACGGCTTTTTCTGCTTCTTCTTTCATGATGCTAGGCTATGGAATATACAATGGATAATGGATGAGGGGAGCGAAAGGTGACAGTGGAATGCATATTCAAACCTTGCGCTACAAGAACTCACCAGCCAAACAGTCATTCTGACAATGGATCACCTCGCTGCAGTTTGCTCAGCTGAAGTTTGTGTTCGCATTTGATGCATCATGAGTACCTTTTTTGTTTTGGGGCTGGGGTGGTCTCATGACCGCGCCAGTTCACGTGCCGTTCAACACCAGATGACTTACCCGGGCTTTCTACAAAATACAAACCGAGGTCATCGACAGAACCTGTTACATACTGATATCTTCGATATTCGGTGTTTACTAGGCGTTGCAAGATCGCGCCCAAGCTCTCAAGACTTCTTCATGTTTGGCTGCGTTGGGTGGTTATCATTACTCGTGAGTTGCGGATGCGGCACATGTTCGTTGTCGCGTGCGCGTCACGTCTTAGACATTCGCGTCTCGTAAAGTGACCATGATATCACTCGTCCACATATACATTTGCTTGTGATCTTTCTGGTGTGGCTTTTGACAAAGATGCAAGGACTCGCTCGTTCGCAATCGTACTCGACCAGCTTGGCTAGCGATGTTCCACGTGGGTCCTACCTAGGTCCGGTCATATGTTGGATGAGCCCACTTTGGATGAAGGAGGTTTCGGAATGCCAATCGCGCCCAGTATGCGGTCCAGCAGCCCTGGCTCGTGGCGTAGCATGTTCCACTCGTCTTGATGCTTGACCATCATCGTGCCTCCTAACGTTGTACCGTTCAGAGCGACGAAGCCGATCTCACTGCCGTCATCGCGGTGAAGCATCGTGCCCTCGGCGCGTCTAGGCAGAATGACCATGCCTGCAGTCGTCATGGCAAGGTTATAGCTCATGGGTAGATCGCCGTCGTCGGTGGGGTGCAGAGCGAAGTCGTTCGGATTCGCGGAAATGAAGGCGTCGACTGCGGCTTTCGCGGCGTCGTACAGACGATTGTAGATATCGAGTAACTGAGTACCTGATGGCTCAGAGTCGAATGGGTAGGCAAAGTGCGTAAACGGCAGAGAAGGGTGTTGCAGAAACGCAGGATGTTGTTCTTGGATGCATATTAGCTACGGCAAAGGGCAGAGTTGTCAGACGCCTACCAGTTGCCTTGGCTGCCGGGCTCGTCAAGATCAGATCTATGAGCAGGCCCCAGTCGCTAGCATTGTTGCTATCGCGCATTCCTTCTACAGGTAGGAACTGCAAGTGTCGGTGGGGCTGAGAGGCGCCGCTGTGGTCGCCGGAGTTGAAGAAGGCGAGGAGACGCTTCTCGTCGCCGCCCGAGTCTGCCTGCCATGCCTTCAAGACGGCGTAGGTCGCCTCCAGATCGTCCTGTTCGAGCACGTGTGTTTGCTTCTTGTTGGGTTTCGTCGCCAGGATGAAGTGCTCGGATATTATGGGGTACTTGTTGAGGACGAGGAAGTGGGTTGGGTTGGCGGCTGGTATGTCGGCCAGGTGGAGGGCGGGTGGGGGGTTCTCGAACGGGTCGATCTTCTGTTTGGGCGTCGCATTCTGGAGCTTCGGAATGGGTTTCTTGGCGAGCGAGGGGCAGTATCGTAATTGGAACTGCTGGCGTGTGAGCCTGGTGGTGTTGGTGGTGGCAGGGCCGGCATACTCACGGGAATGCCTGCAGATGAGCGGATGATGGCTAGCTCCGTGGGCGAGAACAGCAGATCCGACGATGCCTTTGCAGCCTCAAACTTCCGCTTCGTGATGCTCGGAAGAGCTTCAGATAGCCCGAGAATCATCTTCATTCGTTGTCGCGTATCGATGACAGGTGGGGTGCGTGGGCAGTTCAACCGATGGAGCTTCCACCGCGAGCTAGCGCCAAAGCCTAGAATTGTTTTCACACCTCAGGACATCTGCTTCACTATCGTCATCACGTTTGTCACACTGGATCTGCTACGACATGCCACATTCAATTCAAGGGATATTATATCGTCAAGAACCCGCTCAAAAGACCTCCCGAAACGACGTCATGCCACCGCCATGCTTTGCAGCTTCCCCATCTAGGCCATGGAGGCTTCTTACGCCCCCAAGATGCTACTAAGACGAACATATCCGCCAACATTACCATCAACATAACAATAGAACAAGGTAGTACAGACAGGGAGTACGACTCCGGAAGTAACAGAACAAAGATGCTGCCACGCGGCAATCTTCCGCGCATTTGCAGAAGACAGGTGCCCCTACAGCATCCCTCGGTGCCTCAACAGCAACAGTAGCGCTGTGCAGTCGGAGAATGTTTCAATGGTCGCAGTTTGTATCTTCAAATTCAACAGCACTTGACACCAGTCAAGTGTACTGGGGGATGAGGGTGTGTCGAAGCCGTCGCTCGACATGCCCATGTTTATGTCCGATCACTTGCGACCATGGTTGCGCTCCAACCATTTCCTCTTGCACGTCGCGTTGCCGAAATGATACGATCCGCCATTGTCGGCGATAAACTCTGCGACCTTCTTCCAAGCGACTTTGAGGATCTTTTGCTCAAAGCTTAGCGAGTACGGGTTCTGGAGGTTGCTCTCGATACGATCAAACTCTTGCTGAACGGTCTCATTCAGGAGCTGTAGCTGTCGATGTGTCAGTCTACTATGACGAGTAAAATCCAAACAGTCGACTTACATCGATCATTGTCCAGACAGGCTTCCGGACGCGATCCTTTCTCGCCTTGGTCAAGGATCGGTAGCGGCCCCTCAGAGTGGACTCTGCAGGCTTCTCACCGACCATCTTCGACTTGATCTCCTTATACGTCTCTCCTCTCTTCTTTCCATCGATCAGTAGCTGATCGTTGTGCTCTCGCTGGGCTTGGGCACCAGCACTGCGTGGAACGTGGAACCTGTCCTGGATACGGCTGTGAAGACCGGCATCCGGGCATGAAGTACTCCAGGGCGTCACAGGATACTGCGATGTGTTTGCTTCGTCTGTCGACGATATGCTAGTATTACTGGTTGGGTGACTGGAGCGCACAACGTCGCGGGTCCTGAACGCTAGATTGGAGTTGTTATACGCGAAGTTCTCACCGTACCACGGAGAATGGCCAGCGCTACTAGTCTGAGATCGCGAATAATCTGATCCAGAGTTGTAGTCCTCCCCGAAAGAGGCAATCGGTCTTTGGTCCTTTCGAATAGGATAGCCGGATGGCGCTGTGACCTTGGCCATGTCCTCGTCCATCCTCGGGAGTCCTGAGTATCCAGTGTCGCCATCTACATCGTGTACAAGGAAAGACCTGCAGGGAGGTGAAAGGATGGCGGCGTTGGTGGTAGTCGCTGAAGGTACGCTCCAATTTCCGCATGGCGAAGATTGGTCTAGCATAGACTCTGGACTGTATGTGTTGTCGAGATCATCGCTGCGGTAACTCTTTGGCGACAGTGATATGCTCTTGTCCAGGACAGAGCTGTTGGCGGTCATCCCACGAGGCAGCCCATGGAGCTCCGAGGACGGCCAGGGTATTGGGTCGCTAAAGCTCTTCGCGATACTGTTTTGTGTGATGGGCGTAGGGTTGTATGTCAGGACCTGATTCCGGCGGAATTGCGGGTCCGGAATTGGTACGACGTAAGGCTGCGTCTGTTGGATAGCATGGTGCCAGTCGAACGGGGGTGTAGGGACTCCGCTCCAGTGCTGGCCAGATGAGTACGCGAGGTTGTTGGAGCTCGGCGTGGCAGGTGCTGCGCCTGTCGACTTGGTGTCCTCCTGCTCGAGCCTCTGCAGTGCATACGGCTGGGTCTGCACATAGTGACTTGCCTTCACAGTTGTCAGTTTCGGTGCCGCGACAGCATAGGCGTCACTTACCATCATTGAATCCGGCATTCCAGTATAGTCGGGGAAGTCGCGAAATTGATCCGCTGAGGTAGGTTCCGGGACGTAGACCAGGCGGGGTTGAAGCTGAGCAAGAGATTGAGGAAGAAGATACTTGCAATCCTGGGGGACTTCTTGAGCGACAGCCATGACTGCTCTCGCGGCATCCGCCTCTTATGGGTACCCCAAGAGACGCTAATCTTACAATAGTATTGCAAGTCGGCGTGAATGCGCGATTACGCGAGGCCAAAACGGGCGGGATACCACCGCTGTGAAGTGGGCGTGACTGAAGATTGCGGGGTGCTGTCGAGATGTCGAGGCACACGGACACGTTCAGTATTCACAGGAATCACACTCTATCATTCGCTCGACGGACCTGACCGCTTCACGAGATTAGGCGGTGGGGTTGCGGAGTTCGAGCGAGTACAGAGCTCTGCCAAGGTAGGTAGACAACAACGCTAAATCTTGCAATTTCCAGACTTGGTATTGTGAATGGTCGGCCACAGAAGTGGAGGAGACGAGGCTGGCCCTGCTATCTATATGATGCAACAGTGAGCCCACGCAAGGTACCTAATCGATACACATCATCAGTACGCTAGGCCAGAGCGGTTACGTGAAGAGAGGTAGCCTCACCAGAATGTGCCACGAGATCAGAGGAACCAGGAGGAGCCCAAAGATGGAGGCAATGATCGTATGGACACGCAAACACACTAAGGTCTCTATCGGCGCCCTCTGGCTGGTGGAACGAGTCTTGTGGACAGCGGGGATGGAAAACGCACACGGTGAACTGACGATCCGGATCGTACACCAACAAGACAAAGTGTAAGGATGAAGCCGAAGCCAAATGATGAAACAGGCCCAATCACATATGTTGGGTATGTAGAGGTGAGGGACGATCCGCACAATTATAGTCCAAGACAGCCTCAGAACCTTGACTGAAGCGATGAGACTCACGTTTGAAATACGCCACACCCATGTCTTGCTATACTATGGTACGCGGAGTTAGAGGCCTAAGCTTTCGGGTAGACCCGCCATTTCTTTCAATCAGCAAAGTCTTCCGGAATCCGCGCGGAAGGGTAACGGGTTGTCCGTATAGGCTAGACCGCACTCCCTTCGTGCAGACTCATTAGGGTGCGAAAAGATTGTCAGAAGCAAGCATAACTCTCATCAAGCAACAGCACTGCCATCCCGCTACTCCGTGATGTTCAACGTGGCTAGCTCAGAGAAGGCAAATACCATTTGCCTGACGGCTGTGTCGGTCTACGCTCCCCCCGCATGGCGGTTGGCAGACCTATAACGACGAGCTGTCAAGCGTCGAGCTGAAGAAAGATTGCTCGTTTAGTGCTAGCTGAGCTGGCGGAAAAAGTTCTACATCGTCTTGTTTGGCTGGCGTGCAGAAGCGAACGGTTATCTGCATGGCATGGCTTGGCAACAAGCCGTTGTGTCTGGCGCACCAGTAGCAGACCAGCTGAGATGTCATGGCGTGCAGAGACGCAGGTACGTATGCAATCTGATGCGACGATGTTCGCTGGGTTGGCAGGAGCCTCGCGTGTACTACATGTGTCGTCGATCATGACGCTCACGTCACACATGCGCTTCGCAATCAGCCCTGGAGTACTCCGGACATCGCAACAATCTGTTCCCACGACAGGGAAAAGGCTAAATCTGCTGAATTCCCCGGTATCGGCTTGTCGCTGGTGAAGGCGGGGAAGCCTGTAAGTCGTTTCTATCAATACCGACTCAATACCGGCTAGACACTGCACATGCTTCGATATACTCACTAATGTGGCTAGTAATAACCCATGCATACAACGATCCACCTCCGAGCTCGCTTGTAATCCCCACGCCACCGGAAGGCCGCAGTCCAGCGACCGCCTGGTACCGGTGCCCGACCGCAATAGCGTGGATCTGGTCAGGCATGCGCATCGCGTGTGCGGTAAATCCTTTCCGGTGGCGCATGATGCTGCCTTGACAGGTCGCGGAGACTTAATCTTGCATACGATTGCATATGTCCGGGGAAGCCTGTACCCGTCTCCGGTGGCTACACTACCACGCTTCGCCGTGAGTGGTACGAAACGGCGACCGTGCAGCGTGCATGCCGCGTGCGAGGACATGATGGTTGAAGTTACGATATGTAGGGTTGTGCGGGACGATTAGGACGTTCGAGCAGAGACACAAGTCTGAGAAATTGAGCAAGAGGTGAAAAGTCTGACATGTTGGAAGACATTTGCACTGACGCGCAGGATTGTCTAGACGCACGTACTGCGTAATCCGCCTTTCACCCGCGCGCCATTTCCAAACAATCCCCCACGCACTGGGATACCTATCAGCCTCCCGAAATCTTCTCGGTCAGATCTTCGCTTTTGCATCAGCCGGCGGCAACAGCTGAACATCCTTCCACGGCAATCCCAAGTACTCCCACATGTAATGGAACCTATATGGCATACCCGTTAGCGCGTCCCACAGCTCTCGAGTGTTCGTTCGCCATGTTTCAACCGTTCGCAGCTCATTCTGTATCCGTTACGGCATCTCCCCCGTAGCGGGCGCCTTACTGAACATGAATGTACTAGTAAAGGTCCAACCTCGTCGACCCACAACGGAAGAAACGAGCATGCTAAGCGAAAGGCAGGGCCGGAGATACTGATGAGAGAGCACGTACCTATCACTGCCAAAGAATGGTTCTTCTTCCCCTTTCGAGTTGCGCACAAGGAACCATGGGCAGCCAAAGGCACCCCGGTCGAGGGCTTCCTTGGTGTTATCGTTCAGCTGCTGCTTGTATGGCGGGCTGTTTGCTTTCGCCATGACTTCCCGGGCTTCGTCTTCCTTTAGACGCTGCTTTAGAACTTCCACAAGTACCTCCGGTTTACTGACATCCTTGCCGTTTTCCCACATTGCATGGAAGATGTCACGGAAGATAGCGACAAAATTCTCTCCATGTGCTTCCTTCACGTAGCATAACGCCCGCTGTGGTAGCAATGAGAGAATCGGAAAGAAAGATGGTGTCTGCAGATTGGGAACGCCAAAGTGGTGTTTCGCTCGCGCGCCATCATACTGGCTGTAGTTCGCCTTTGCTGGCAGGGTCCACGGCGGCTTGTTGCCTGCGCTGCAGTGTCAGGACTGATTTGGCATAGCGAGTACCGGATTTCCAGGCACTCCACATGGGAGGGGATGAGGGAGTGTTACCGCTGCCGACATTGATACCCCCTAGAAAGACGGGCACTACACTGTATGAAGTCAGTGATCATACTTGCTCTTGGCGAGAGCGCAGTCTCGTTGGTAGGGTTTCAGAGAAGGGAATTCGTCTCGAGCTTTGAGTAATGAAACAACGGGTACTAACTCGATTTCTACGTTGTGCGCTTCGAGAGTCTGCTTGTTCCTCTCCAGGTGCAGTAAAGCGTAGTATGAGTATGGAGATACTAGTCCATAATTAGCATGTGATGTCGATCAAGCAGACAGTAAGTACGCACCGCAATCTAGATAGCACGTAATTTTGCCTGCCATATTCGCAATACGTCCAAACGTACGAGATGAGAAATCAAGGCCGTACTTGTAAAGACGCTGACCATGTATTATGCGCGTCGTCGTTGGATCGGCGCACTGCCCAGGTGTCTTGGCTACCGAGGTTAGCATGGCCGGACTCTATCACTAATCGCGACCACACCTCCGCCTTTCAGACCGCGAATGATGCGGATACCCCGGATTCTCGCCGCACAGCTTATGTGTACCGCAGATGCAGCGCCATACGCATTGACCGAGGTTCTAGATTGAATGCTGATTGCAATGTCAAGTCTGCATGCGTTCCGTAGGCGCCTCTTGCTGTTAGCAGCAAGCAACAATTCCCCCGGCGCGACGTGACCTTCAACCCTACGCAATACGCTCTCTCCGCCATGCCAACGTCCAACAAACAAGTCGCACTCGTCGTCGGCGCTTCACGAGGCATCGGTCGACAAATCGCCATCGACCTAGCAAAAGACGGCTACGCAGGTGCACATAGCAACCACCTCCTCCGTCCAAGAGCCAAAGCACTGACAACAACGCAGTCGTCGTAGCCGCAAAATCCACCTCCGACGCCTCCAAATGCTCTCCTTTCCCACCCGACCCAAACTCGCCGGCGTCCACCATCTCCACCGTGACCCGCGAGATCCACGAGTCCGGCGGCGAAGCCACGGCCATAAGCGTTGATACACGAGACTATACCAGTATAGAGCGCATGGTAGCCGAGATAATAGCCAAGTACGGTCGTCTGGATGTACTTGTGTATAATAGTGGCGCGATATGGTGGGCAAGCGTAGCCAAGACCCCGATGAAGCGGTTCCAGCTCATGCAGCGCGTGAACGTCGAGGGTCTGTATGGCGTCGTACAAGCCTGTCTTCCGCACTTTGAGCAGCGCGATGGGGCCTGGAAGGGCAGGATTATCATTGTTAGTCCGCCGATCTACTCGCGCTTCTTCCGCGGGAAGACGGCGTATGCCATGGGCAAGGTGGGTATGTCTGTTCTTACAAAGGCGCTAGCCATGGACTTCCAGCGCGAAGGAAAGAGTGAGATGGCGATTACGAGCATTTGGCCTGCGACGGCGGTGCAGAGTGCTGCGACGCAGAATATGGCCCAGGAAGATGCCAAGGATCTTAGGACTGCCAATGTTTTCTCTGATGCGGTGTTGCAGATGATCAAGGCGCCCGTGGAAGAGGTGAATGGGGAGTTATTGCTTGATGAGGATTTCTTGCGGATGAAGGGGGTTAGTGATTTTGAGAAGTATAATTTGGTGGAGGGGAGTAGTCCGAGGAGGATTATGCCTGCGGAGTTTCCGGATTTGAGAGTCAAGGAGCAGGATGATGAGGGGAGGAGGGTTGATAGTACGAAGCTTAGGGCTTCGAAACTTTGACTAAAGTCGTGATGCTATCTACCTGCTAGGGGGTTACTACACTCCCATACTTTTTGTGATAGCCAGTGTTCATGACACGACATGACAAAGTACGGAAGATCTGTATGCTCGAATCCGTTGCTAGCGACGGCGAGGAATAGCATGCGCGTTCCAGCCGTCATCGAAACCCTCGTCGTAACCCTCGATCTTTCCTGCAGAGTACTCTTCATCCAGCCCATCCCTCATTCTGCGCTCGGTTCTCTCCACTCCTCTATCATATTCTTCCTTCAGGCGAGTGTCTTCACCTGCCTGCCTTGCGGTCCAACCGGCCTTCCAACCCTTCATGTACTCAACCAAGACCGCAGCTCGTTTCCCCTCAGCCAGTCCTTCAGCATGCCCGATACCATATCCTCTAGAACTTCCGGCAGTATCACCAAGTTCCTTTCCTTCAACCAGCCCTTCAGCTTTACCGACGGCGTGTCCTTCTTGATAGCCCTTGGAGTGTCCTTTGTTGAAACCAATGCGCTCGCTTTCAGCCTTAGACACAATCTCCGAGATTGTATCACCTTTAACCTCGACTGCAGCCTTGCCTGCAATCCATCCACCATTCCATTCTCTCGCATGTCTATCTTTGATGAGATGGGTTGCTGCTACCTTGCCCATCTTGTATCCTCGCTCGTATTCCGTTGTTTGCTGGCCGTTTTCAACTCGAAGAGCACGCTCACATTTTGCGTAAGCGCTATGCCAGCCAGGATCGTATGTACCACCCGCCATATCATAGCCATTGTAGAAGGCTTCATACGTCTGTTCACTTAAGCGAAGTTGCCAGATGTCATGGGATTCAACAGAGTCCGATCTGCCGTCCTCGTATGCTCTCTGGTAGGCTTCGTCGGTTTCTTCTCGCAATCCTTCTGCGTAACCTCCTCTTTTGCCCTTGCTATGCCCTTCTTTATAAGCTTTCATCCTTGCCATCTCCATCATTGACTTCTTGTGGGAGTCCCACTCCCGTTGTTGCAAGATCCAGTTACGCCTGCTAGCCTCAGTCTCGATGGCAGGCCTCAACTGGTCGACTTTCTCAGTTAACCATACTTCCATGGTGGACTTAAGCTCTGAACCGCTGAGCTCTTGGCCCTTTTGGAGACGCCAGGCTTGTTGTTCCGTCTCGAATTTCTTGCGATCTGCTGTCAGGACCGCCAAGCTCTGCTCTTGACGTCTTGCTCGTTGGTTCAGAAGGTTTTCCAGGCCTTGTGCTTTCTTTAAGCTCTCCTCATGCTCTTTTCGGTATGACTCTCGCTCTGCCCTGATTTGCTTACCCAGGTCGACCACCCTAATGTTTGGCTCACAGTACTGTTTCGTCCATTTGTCGATTGCGGATTGCGGAGTGCTCTTGCGCGCGGACAAGTTCCTCATATCCTGATTGGCCTTCTCGACCTTGGTACCGATCGCGGCGACAGCATCAAGCAGGTCTTGAATGTTCTTCGATTTCGCCCGATCATGCTTGACCCTTGTCTCTGCGACCTTTAAATCTTCTTCGCGCTTCTTCAACTCGGCTAGCTTGTCCTCTGCTTCTTTTGTCCGCTTTTCGCTTTCTTTCTTGCGTGCTTCGATGACACTGTTGTTTACCAGCGCTTGCAGATACTTCGAATGTTCTTCGGCCACGTCATCTGCAGCTTTCTTTTGATCTTCTGCCTGCTTTGTCTCTGCGTCCACTATCCCTCTCTCCAAGCCTTGGATGTGCGACTCAGCCCAATCCACCCACTTGTGGCACACTGTAGCCAGATTTGAAGGTTCATCTGTTTGCGGTCGATGTGGCCGGGGAGGCTCGTCTTTCCGCAATGTTTCCGGTGGATCAGAGAGCGTTTCGAGGAGAACGACTGTACCATCTGCAAAACTTAGCGCGTTAAAAGGTGACGGGAGTGCAGGCTTACTTTGTTCGATAGTTATCCTCGGCCCATGGCTATGACCTTCAGCGCTTGCAATAGCTGCAGCTCTGAGTTTGGCAGGTTCTTGAGATCCACTGCAGCCCACAGCAGCGGCTGTGATGAGTCCAGGCATTCTTCCCTCTCAGTCGCGGCCGCGTGACTAGTATCGCGATGGACGAAAAAGAGAGGCAAATACGCTCACTCTAGCGTGCGGCTAGGTGATGAGATCACCTAAATAGAGTGCTGTACGAGGTGAGGAGACGGACGAGTCAGTTTTGGACGCGAAAAGGTGAGACTCAGCGACGCAACAGAAGAGGAAGGTGCAATGCTTGGCGCGCAATAAAGCGCGCAAGGAACGCGTCGAATGCGGACCAACAGGGTCGTGCAGGCTAAGAGAAGCTACAGAGCGTCTTCCAAAGAGCAAAGTCATTCGTCGTCTCTAATCCGTGGTGACATGCGCACTTCATAGGCACTCACCTTGGTAACGAATATGTGCCAATGTGCACGTGACTTGCCCGATACATCGCGATTACACCGGTACTGACGGTGCAGATGTCCGCCCAATGGTGTACGCACCAAGCTTTTGGTGACTAGAAAGAATGACAGTACATTTGAGAAGCTCCTTTCTGCCGATGACACACGCGAATGAAACTACATTAGGGAGAACTTTGACAAGAAAATGGTCACTACATTCGGAGAAAGAAGCGAACCACAACAAGAGACGTGACTAAAGACGAAAAGATGAGAATCTCAGAAACAGAAAACTCGAGGTTTATGCATTAGCTCACCCATCTCTCCAGTTCATTCAATCCATTAGACACTCAACCCCGATATTACTCCATCATGACGTACGGAGACTGCCTACCCTACCACCAAGTCCTCCTTCCATCATCCTTCAATCCAGCCCTATGCCAATGCCCGATAAACACCATGCTTGCTTGGAAGAGATTAAATCGCAAAACAAAAAAGAAGACAGTTCTACTAGTACAGGGAGCGGTCGTAGATGCAAGAATCAGCCATAGAGGGCTGGGGACGCTCGATTGAGATCTTGTAGAAGGGTATAAACGCAGGGGACCTGGTATGTAATGCTCGCTGTAACATGTATGCCGAAACGATATATGCGTGTGCGGGATTCGAGGAGGTGTGAAGACGTTCTGCAACACCGCGGTTCGAAAACAGTATGGTTGCAAAGCTCAAGCGCCTTTAGGATATTTCTGACGACGAGGTTAGAGGGCGTGTGGTATCTATCCTTCTAATAGAGGCGTCCTCGGCTGGCCTGGCTTGCTCTGCTGGGCGACGTCCGGCTCCTCTCATCTTCCTCGGGAACGTCACTCAGTCTCGTAGGATGGTGATGTCTCATGCCTACCCACTCGTCACCGTAGCCATCACCACTGTAGTCGGGTGCACCGCCAGCGGTAGGGTGACCCTGGCGTGACGATCCCGCGCTCGAACTCGTGGCGTAGGCACCTGAAGACGTGGCAGTCGTGCCGTAGTGTTGCAGATGCTCAAGCTCGCGTCGACGTGCATCTTCTACATCATACTCATCCGATACTGGAGACTGAAGCGATCGAAACGGGATGCGGCGACCTGAATCATCGCGGATGAAGTTGCCTCTCTCGTCCAGGGCGTACTCGATGTCGCCTTCAGACTCCTCCGCCTGAGACGTGACGTATGACTGTTCGTCCTCTGGTAGACCAGACTCAGACTCTTGATGTAGATATGAACCTGGCTGCTGGTAGAACGCCTCAGGCTGAGACATGGCCGGTTGTGCAGGGGCTTGCTGTGCCTGAGACGTGTAATATGGATACTGTAATGGAGCAGGGGCTAGTGACTCGTCCGCGACTGAAGAGCCACCAGGTCGAGAGGAGGCGGCGGATGCTGCACCTGATGGGACGTAGGTTCCTTGAGCCACGTGTGCGGGGGGTTCGGGCTCGCGGTGCGCATGGCGAGCGCCTTCCGTGAAGGGATCGGTGTCAGTTGGAGACTGACCTTCCTCATACGAGTAGTGCTGTTCTATACCCGAGCCACTGCTCTGAGCACCGGCGTATGTGTCGTCCCCATGTCCCCTCCCTTGACGCCCCATGTTCTGCGCCATTGGTACCACCTGCACTCCGCCGACCAACGTAGGCTGCCCTTCTCTGAGTGAGAACGTGCGATCACGTTCCTCTTGCTCCCGTCTTCCAAGCTCCTCCCATGCTCGGCGTGCTTCCTCTTTCGAGATTTGAAGCTCACGCTTCATCTCCGACACCGCTCGTTCGGCGTTCTTCTTCTCGGTGGCCATGCGTTCCATGTTTGCCTCAGCCTCAAGTCGAGCCTCCTGCTCCGTGTTGATTTGTTCCGTCAGTTGAGCCTCACGCTCTTGAGCTCGTTCCTGATCCTGGCGATGCTCGTAGAACCATCTCTGGAACTTGCGCTCGGAAGATGCGCGTAGGCGCTGCAGCTCAACAACAGCATGGAAAAGGTTGGCACCAGCTGCAGACAGGTCGGTGATCTGGCGCGACATTTGCTGAGCCAGCGGCTCCCTGCGAACTTCATCGGTATTCTGCTCAAGCCGCCGTATCCAGTAAGAGGTAAGACCTTCCCAATGCGAGGATAGTGTTTCCCAGCGCTCAAACGCATGTGGAAAGTTTGAAGTGGTGGACTCGCGAACCTGTCCGGAGGACGAGCCTGGCGGAGGTGGTGGGCGTGCTGCAGCGGTGGAAGGGCCTGCTTGCGATGAAGCGGCCGTGGCACCAGACGGTCGCCTCGCATGCCCTGAGCCAGCTGGCCGTCTGCCTTGTTCCGCCGTCGTTGGTAGGCCTAGATTTGCCTGAGCGGGTCGAGACTGCTGCTGCTGTGCTTGCGAAGCTGCCCGGGGTCTGGATTGCGATGCGCCGGTAGTGGTCTCCTGCGCTTCGCTCATGGTGTTTTGTGATGGGATCGGCCTCTCTGGCTGACGAGGCACTCCACCCGATGATGTCGGGTATTGTACATACTGGTCGCCAGATCTCAGAGCTGTCGATTGGGGCTGCCTTTGGGTCCCGGGCTCCGTTGTTGGTGCTCCAGCTACACCAGAAACAGCTTGAGCTCTTCTTTCTGCGCTAGCTCTCCTGCGCTCCTCTTCAGCGGCCTTCCTTTGTTCCTCCACTTCAGCCCGTTGCCGTCTGGCGTTCATGATCTGCGTTGGCGTGCGTATGTTGGACCTGTCAACGGGCACAGGACCGCCTGTTGTGCGCGCGCCGCCATTGGCAGCGCGGCCACTTGTTAGATCGGACATGAGGGCGTTCTCTTCGACCAGATCCGGGGTGAAGGGATGTGGAAGTCGGAGTCCCTCTTCCAGCACAAAACGTATTGCCGAGGCAGTACGTTGACTGACGCGAAGGGCGGGGTGAGGCTCGGCGTAGGAGGTCGAGCGAGGGCGAGGTGTCTCGAAGCGAACGCGCTGCTGCTGTTGGCTCGGATCGACAGATCTCGCGCGCTCGAAGTTGGGCGTGCGGCGAAGACTGTTTGCGACGCTGCCGGTCGAGCTCGATGCTCTCGAGCGATTGTGCTGCGTGCGATAGAAGGCTTCGGCTTGCTCCTGGCGTAGCTGGAGGGAGGTTCGGTATTCGAACAGTGGCGCTGGGCCGTGGCGGTCGTGGTCTCGTGAAGATGGTTGTTGGGAGGGTAATATGTTGGCGAGCTCAGATGGGTCGCTGGACGTCACCGCGAAGTCAGGGACTCTCACTCAGGCCCAATTGCCCTTGCGCCGTCGAGGGGCACCCGCCGGGTTGGAGAAGATACCCAGCGGCTGGTTCTCTTGGGATTGGGTAAGCAACGCGCGATGGCTTGCTTATATCGAGAGGCACGAAAGCTTGCTGGAGAGGGTAATGTTAGAGACAGAGACTGCGGGAGGGCTAGCAGAGGAGCCATTGCTGCGGTGCGCCCTAGCAATTCCGCGCGCGAGGTAGGGTGGTTGGGAGGAGGTGAAGGGCTGGGAGGTGGCTGGGACGCTTCGTGAAATCAACTTACAGCTCTCACCGACAGTCCATGAAACAGCCAATGTACGTGTCTGGATGCGCGATTGGTGACTATGTATGCGCTGCGCTGCGCTGTGCTGTCGTCGTCGTGGTGCTGGTGGTTGTCCAATGCCTCGAGTTCTGCTGGCAGTGCCGAAACAGACGTCACCGGACGAAAAGCTGGCCCTCAGCCCCAGCGCTCGGAAGCGCGGCGCCTGCTGCAACGCGCGGGTGGGTAGAAAAGAGTGACGGAAGAGACAGAAGGTCTCGTTTGGATATGCATTGAAGTCGCGCGGCTGAGCAATCGCGGACGTGTGGTAGCGCTTTGAGCGCGAGCGGAGCTTCACCCGGGAAGCAAATACGCCAAACGCTGATATTTGCTGATGTGGAGTCGCACTGACCGACGTGCAGCGAGATGCATGCAAGCGACTGGACTGGGACGAGGATAGCGGACGTCGAGTTGGTGACGGCTACGATCGATTGCCAGCGTGCCAGCTCATCGTGCTTGTTCTGCTAAACCTGGCATGGGGCCAAGGTACAGCGCGAGCCGGAAAGCGGAAAGCCCATAGCCGTCATGACCGGCCGAACGAAGCAAGGCATTAGAAGCCAGCAGTCCAAGATTACAAAGAAGTCATGTAGTTGATAGCTAGAGATTTATTTGGCTCACGGCCTCTCTCATGCTCGCGGTCGCGGTTACCTCATCGCACCTGCCCACCCGCATGCGCCTGCCAATCAGCCGAGTTGTGAGGAAGGAGCGGCCCGTCTCCAGCGGGTCAAATCGTTACAGCATCTGGCCACGAGCGTCGTGCCTCTTCAACCTAACAACAAGCCGCCTTTGCCAAAGGCCCGCATCGTAACGACCAGCTGATGATGAAGTCGTTCGGTGTCTTGTACAGCCAACAAACATTCCATTATGTCCACCCCTGGAACCCGCATACACGACATGCAACTCCCAGCCTCGCCTATGCGTTAGACCCATGATCCTGCAGCAACGGAAGAACAAGGAAACATACTGCAGACGCAACGTTCACTAGACCCACAGAACAGCTGTCATCGTCAGACGTCGCCCGTCCCATTTGCGATGAAAAGAGGACGGCACACTTTGCGCACACCGCCTCACAACCTGAATCGCAAGCACATCGGACCGAGGCAGCAA